ATAATGGCAGACGCATGGTGGGCCTGGCTGCTTCAAGGGGATTAGTGGTTGGTAGCACCATGTTCCCTCATAAACGGATACATGAAGCAACATGGAGGTCCAATGATGGGACTACATTGAATCAGATAGATCATATCCTGATAAGCGCTAGACACATATCAAGCCAAAGAGATGTAAGAACATACCGTGGAGCAAACATCGACTCAGACCACTATCTGGTCATATCTCGAATCAGGGCTAGAATCTCTACCGTCTGGAACCGAAGAAGAGTACCTCAACCCAAGTGGAATATTGAGAAGCTCAAAGACCCTGAAAGGAAAATTCGTTTTGTTGACTCCATGGACAAAAAACTGCGAACCTTGACCCTGTAAGTTGATACTGAGAACTATTGGGAAAAATGTAAGGAAGCAGTGAAAGTCGTTGTCGACGGGGTTTTGAGGCTCCAGTCTCCTACCCTTAGGAAACCATGGTTTGATAAGGAATGCGGAGCTATAACTGCCCTCAAGAATGAAGCTCGCAAGCTGACCCTACTGAGAAATACTAGGGTCTCAGAAGACGCATATAAGGCCTTGAGAAGAAAAGAAAAACGCTTACACTGGAGGAAAAAAAGGATACAGAAGTCTCGAGGCTACAGTCAATTGAGGAATTTCAAAGCCAAAATGAAGTACAAAAATTCTATAACCTGGTGAATGGACTCCGGAAAATCCTTCGAGCACCAAAGTGCCGCCTGTAGGAATTTAGACGATACCCTCCTAAACGAGAAAAATAGAATACTGGACAGATGGAAGAGCCACTTTTATGATCTCTTAGATCTAATCGCCCACTATGAGCATGAAGACACAAGCAGACATTATTGAGCTCCCCCTCCCCCTCCCCTGGCTCTGAGGAGGTTGAGGAAGCCATTGAAAACCTAAAACACAACAAGGCTTCCGGCGCAGATGGCTTACCTGCTGAGATCATGAAGTGCGGTAGCCAAGAACTCACCAAAGTCCTGCACCGAATAAGCCTAGGAATTTGGGAAGGGGAAAGAATTCCATCAGACTGGTATAAAATCATAATCTGCCCAATACACAAAAAGGCTGATGTTCTTGAATGTGGGAACTACTGAGGGATTTCTCTTTTGTCATGTGCCTACAAAATACTCTCACGAATACTATTCCTTAGGCTCCTTCTTTTTGCCGAGAGAGAAATAGGAAAGTATCAAGCAGGTTTTATAAGGGGTAAAGGAACGACTGATCAAATATTCTCTCTGAGAATGATGTTGGAGAAAGCCCTGAATATAATATTCAAACGAATTTATATATCTGGGATCTCTAATTATAAGCGACAATGCAGTGGGGGCTGAAGTGCAACGCAGAATACAGGCAGCCAACAGCTGTTACTTTGGACATGCAAAACCCTACGCAACTGCGACTGTGCAAAACCCTAATTAAAAATATTTTTAATTTATTCCTTTTTATTTTCTACCGTCATATCTTAGTAATACTAATGAGCTGGAATTTTATTTAACTATTTGTTTTTTTCTTTCAATTTATTTTAATCATACCCATATCCGTGAAATCCTTTACTCACAAAAAGGTTTCATACCGCAATTTAATCTCGATTCCGTCCAATGGGATATCATATATTCTTATAACTCCATTGAAGCTATGGCATGTACCCTTACCTCAAACCTAAAATCCATATTAGAAACCTATGCTCCTCTGAATACTAAAACCTTATGCCATCCCACTGCTCCTTGGCTGACTCATGAAATAAAGGAAATGATAAAAAGAAGGATTGCAGGAAGACTCAAATACCGCCAAACCCATTTGCCAATCGATTATGCGTCTTTCAAAGAACTTCGCAATGGTACTCAATCCGCAATCTGGCTAGTTAAAGCCACCTACTTCCATAACGCCCTTTCCAATGCTCCTGATTCCAAATCCAAATGGAAAATACTCCGTAATCTATCCCTACCAGAATCAAATATTCTCAGTTCCTTTCCCGTGACCCCGGATGATCTCAATGACCACTTCTTATCTTTCTCCCATGTGTCCAATGATGAACTAGTTTCTGCTATGCTAAAATCTCATACCAATGATTATGGCCCTGATAATATTCCAGTAAAACTAATAAAATCCAGCCTTCCCATACTTTACCATATCTACAACTTTTCATTGCAAAACTCCATATTCCCATCTTTCTGGAAAACCGCCCTAATCCGACCTTTAAACAAAACTTCAAATCCTTCTTTACCTCATGATTTTTGTCCCATTTCCCTCCTTTCCAATCTTTCAAAACTGCTGGAACGCCTCGTACAAACCCAACTTTCCAAATTCCCAGAAGAACATTCTCTAATCAATCTTCTCCAATCTGGCTTTCGTCCTGGCTACTCAACCCAATCTGCCTTCCTAAAAATAACCCATGACCTCCAAAACTCCATTGAACACCAGAAACTTACTATCCTAGTTCTCCTTACTAAACTGCAACATCTTCCTTATCCAACAGTGTCCTGCGATAGTTCAAATCCTTCATTTCAAATAGATCCCAGTATGTAGTCGTCCAAGGTCAACCTCCCTCTAAGATACTTCCCCTCTTCTGCGGCGTCCCTCAGGGTTCCTCCCTATCTCCTACTCTGTTTGCTATTTACATTAATGACCTTCTTCTCCTGATCCATCACTCCCAATACCATATCTGTGCAGATGATTTCCAAATATACCTGTCCTTCCCTCCTTCTGACCTATTAGCAACCACCAAAAACCTTCAAGAGGACTTAAACATAACCTGTGACTGGGCGGATGCGAACAAGTTGAACTTCAATGCCGAGAAGACCAAGGTAATTTCGATAGGCTCCAGTCACCTCCTTAAAACTCTTCCTAACATACCGACCCTGTTCCTACACGATAATCCCATCAAATTCCATCCCATCATTAAGAACCTTGGAATAACCTTTGATCAAACCCTTTCCTAGGAAACACCATGTATCCGATATTTCCCGCCATGCCTTTTCCATTTTAAAACGACTAAATTACCTTCACCACCTATTTCCATTTGAAACCCGTAAACTCCTTATTACTTCCTTAATATTTCCTTACTTCGACTATTGCTGTACGGTATATGGGGGCATCTCCGGGGATCTCGAGGCGAAACTAAATACGTTTGATAAATTGCCTTGTACGATTCATCTTCAGGATCCCAAGGGACGCCTCTATTTCCCGTTATTATGATGAGCTGAAATGGCTTTATCCTTCCTACCGACGTAAGTATTTCCTAGCATCCTTCCTCTTCCAAGTCATCCAATCCCGCCGTTCTTCATACATCTCCGAGCTCCTTCAATTCAAATCCTCTGTCCACTCCTGCAAAACCCGTTCCCGGTCTTCAGATTTGTATACAAGATCCCACCGAACCGCTGCTTTTGACAGATCTTTCATTATTCGATCCACATCTCTATGGAATTCTATCCCATCCTACATCCGTCGCTCCAATACCCTCCTCTAAATTCTGCCTGTTCAATCACCTCTTATCCATTCAGCTCTCATAAAATTGTAAATAGATGTTGTAAATATGTATATAAATAATTAGTTTGTTTTAAATACTTTATTTCATTTTTTTTTTAATTGAAGATTGAAGGTAAATAATATTCTTTTCTTTTATTTATTCATTATATAAATCAGTTTATTTTGTAATTATTCTCTGAGACCCCAAAGCCCACATTTTAATCTCTGTACATTATTTTAAAGAGACTTGTCCGAGAATAAATAAACCATTATTATTATTATTATTATTATTATTATTATTGCCCGCTCAAAGGTTAAGTATTGAAATGGGAAGGTACCAAGGAGATATTGCGGTCAGAAACTTGAAAATAATCTGCTTTGATTGGGGAATACCAGTGAGAGATGTGAAAACCTAAAATAAATCTGATGAAAATTCATTAATCTTTTCAATCTCATCTCGTGCTCATCAGATAATCCTCCATACACTAGCCATCTGTAGTCAAAGTGGGTGTGAATAATGAAGGAAATTAGAAGATGATGGCTACTTCAAGACAACAAGTCAAGGAATCATAAGAGCTGTTTAAGAATTAAGATGAATGTAGCCGTGGTTTTTACTTGGTTTAAATTTAAAGTAATAGTTTATTATCATTACTTAAGATTTCTGAAAAAATAAAATCCACTAATCGCTTGAAATATTTTTAAGTAAACGTAAATATTAGAATTAGAGAATATAGGAACATTTAGCTGATCACCTAATACAATAATTGAGATCAGTGTAAAAAAAACTGTAAGGCTATCACTGAGTGAAAATTTTTAAATATTTTTTTTTTTAAGAAATAACAGTTTTTAAAATATTTTTTATAAAGAAAAAGTATATTTTAGTAATTAATTGATCAGAAAACATCTAAAGTCCTTGAAAAAAATTATAAATCTATTGTTTTAATTATTTTTTATTATTATGAAAACTACAGTACTGTGAGGAGATAGAATTTCAAATCTCACATCTCACATCATTTTTTCACTACAGGGAAATCTTAGCTTATTGACAAGGAAGTTTTCTTTAAAGTTGGAAATCTGTTATCCATTAAAAGCAGGTATAAGGAATAGTCCATTAAAATATAAAAACCTGAACTTAAAGCAGTTCAGCCTCATAAAAGTACTGTTAGTATGTTTAATGAACTATGAAAAGATTTACTTTCATTTGAAGGAAATGTTGTCTAGTTTACTGTGCTGCGATTTGTAATTACCTAAATTAAATGTTTTTTAATGATCACTTCCTATTAAAAAAAAAAATCCAGCTTTTCAGTGTGGAATCTCCTCCGGGCCTGTGGTCCGCTGATCCCCATTCACCCTCTATGAGTATGTGTGTAAATATATATATATATATATATATATATATATATATATATATATATATATATATATATATATATATTATTACATATATATTATATATATTCACTAAATATTAATTAATCTATGATTAGTATTTTATTACCTTTTTATTATTCTTTTTTTTAGTGTACTGGAAGGTCAATGGAACCCACATTACATCATAATGATGTAGTATTCTCTGACCATATTTCCCCCAAAATTAGAGGAATTAGATATGGCGACATTGTGGTTGCTAACTCAGTTACTGATCCTAAGTTATTCGTGTGTAAAAGAGTTACCGCCCTAGAAGGTGATGTGGTGGTTTATTACAATAGATATGTTTTTGTAAGTATAAAATTTGATAAATTCCATTACTTTTATAATTTTTGTTTATTATTAGCAAATAATAAAGACATTTTATATGATTTATTTTAAAACATTGATTAGTTTGTTTAATTTAGGTTGATTCAATTGTTTAATGGAACTTTATAAATGACTACTCTATCATAGTAGAATTGTATTGTGAGGCAAAACATCTTTCTATATATGATCACTTTTTTGTCTGTTGATGATCCGAGGATTTATTAGTTTATAGTCTTGAATTTTCCTCCTTTATTCATATTTTCTCCCCACTCTTCGCCCTTAGGTCTAAATTAAGAAAGTTGTTTAATTGAAAGAATATTAGGCCTACGAGAGAGGTTTGAAGATCTCGACTATATTGACGATCTATTTCTTCTTGTACAATGTTTCAGTGATCTACAGAACAAGTTAGATGCAATAAGCCAAGTCACAAACTGAGTTGGACTGCAAATCAACATTGATAAAGCAAAGGAAATGCGAGTAAATGAGCAATGTTGGAATCCACTTGTTATGACAGAAAACATTGTAGAGTGGATGGAATCATTTATCTACTTGGGAAGCATGATCATTATTCAAGGGGGCTCGTTGGAGAATGTTTAAAACAGAATAAAAAAAAGTTAATGAGACGTTTGTTCAATTCAATTAAATATAGAAGAATAAGAAACAGTGCAATAAAACAAAAATAAGGTAATTATTCAAAAATAAGGTAGTTTAACACTAACGTAAAATCAGTCCTGCTCTACGGAAGTGAAACATGGAAGGTGACTGAAATCTTTACCCAACCCCTTCAGACCTTTATCAACTGCTGTCTTCAAGAAAACCTGGGGATCTGGTAGCCTGATAGAATCTGCAACAAAGAGCTTTGGAGTACTATTAAACAGGTCTCTATTCACATCAAAATAAGGAAAAAGAAACAGAAATGGATTGGACATACTTTACGAAAAGCAGATATTGCCAATGAAGAAGAAGCTCTTTGATGGAATCTCCAAGGAACAAGAAGAAAAGGAAGACCAAGAGTAACATGGTTGAAATCTATACAAACAGACATTTGCTGGGCTGGCAAGACTTGATTAGAAGCAAAAATGATTATTGCAAAATAAGCTGAATGGAATGCACTTATTCATGCACTATGCTCTACCCGGAGCCAAAGGTGATAATAAGAACAATAAATTTATTTACTAATAAAGATAAACCATTAATTTATTAACTTCTGACATTGGAATAAGACAAAATATTGGTATTAGTCTGCATAATATTCTATTGCTATATGTTAAGAAATAAACACAAAACTTTTACTCTTCATTCAACATTTCAGGCTTATTTGCCCATTTTAAAGTCAAGATAGTCTCAGCAACAAATATAAATAAACTGTCAATGCATATAAACAATTTAAAGCAAACATTTATTAATGAGGAGATATTTTATTAGAAGGATAGATCATAATTTAACCCTCATTTGTCTCAATCTTAACATAATTTGCCCATCCACATAAAATCATCCAAATTTTTATCAATTTAGGCATCTTCAGGGATACAGTATAATTTTAAAATATTTTGGTAACATTCATCTGAAAAATATAAAAAATCTCTCAGAGGTAATTATTACTGGCAGACACTAGTCAGTCAATAATTCGATAAAAACAGTAAAAAAAAAATTATAACAACATGAATATGCATGCCTAAATTGAATGGAATTGGCAAACTTTGGATGATTTTATAATAAAATATGTTATGACTATGACTACTATTGCAAAAATGTATTAAAATCGTGCTTAATGCTAAAATATAGTTATAGAAGAATGAATACATAAGTTAGTTATTTTATTTGTCTTTATAAAATTATATTAATTATGTGTATAATTTTTTTAAAAAATGTATTAGATGCTAACATTTGTTGTATTAGAGTGTTATAAAAATCCTGTTAATAAAAAAAATTGTTTTCTTTAAGCATTTTTAATGAAAAAAAAAAACACTGAGAAAGGAACAAAAAATCAATTCAAAATTTACAAATTGTATCAATCTCATTCCAGATCACTCTGGTTATCATGTGGAGGATTTCCCCCTCAAATCTTTTAATAATGCTTTCTAAGGATTATTAAAATTTTAAGCTAATTAAATGTCCAGATCTTGCAGTGGTGTAACAGAATTGGCTTTATCATAGCATTTAATACCCTTAATTTTAGATTTCTAGGGATTTTTTAGGATTTCAATGCATTTAAATGAAAGAAGAAAGCTCTGTTTGTGTTTATAATGCACTAATCTATTTCTGACTACTGATTGCTTCCAAGAACAGCAACCTATCATCTGCTTATCCTAGAATTTAAGATATTTTGAAACTTTGATATCTTCAGATACTTTTTACTGAATCAGGACTCGACATTTAGGGTCATTTGTATAGACCTTAGTCAGTTGTATATTAGTATATTACTAAAGTAATGATATATTAACAATTTTAATATATTGTTACTTTAAATTGTTTATGTGTATTGCAAATGTTTTTTTTTAATGTTTGTTGTAGAGATTATTTCATTTAAAAAAGGAGCAAATTTTCCCCATCAGATGTTTTTTAAATATATGAAATGAATTTTAAATGGGCTATTTAGGTTTCTTTCCTAAATATTTATAAGAATCAAATAAAAATTTATATAACATTTTGAAAAACAAAGTTGTTTGCAAAAAGTTTTAGTTATTTTTGTAAGAAATCTTGTGTCTAATAGGTTTCATTTATATTACTGACTTCACAGCTGTCTAAAAGTATTTTTTTTTTTTTAACTTTATTATAGATTGCTGTCATTATCATGTTAATTTTTATTTACATGCATTGTTTATTTCACATTGCTTATTTATTTAATTGTTTTTGTTCTTCTTATTTACACTAATTAATTACTCATTTTTTTAATTCTTACTTTTGATATACAATACTTAACTTTTTCATTCATTTATATCAAAAAATCATTTTCTTATCATATTTCAATCTTTTTACTATTGTATAATTACACGTTTATCATTTTGCTGATTTTATTCTTTACTTTTATTACTATTATCTTACTTATTTAATCTTGTTACTATTATTTTATACTTTCATTACGCTTAAAATTTTAAAATTTTCATTTGTCTGATGTTATTTTATATTTTGTAATTTTTAGCCCTGAGGATGACTCATTTATGAATTTCTGTACACACTAAAAAAAGTACTCCAGAGGAAGCAGCATTAATTGCTGTTTCATATAGTGTCTTCTTTTGGAACAAATTTTTAATACCTGTCGAATTTTGTTGCTATTTCCATTGTGAAAATGTTTGATATCTCAGAAGCAGTTAGCTTGAATACCTTCAATTAATTTTCTCGTCATACTTATATTAAACATACAAAACTATGTCACAACAATTATAACCCAGACTTAGCCAAACTTTTCACTAATACTTCAAGACTAGCTATGTTGCATACAAATGTTTCACAGGGTCCCATTTTGATGAAACTCAAAATCTTGTATCAAATAGACTCTCATTACACTCTGTGGGGCATGGGCACATGTTGTGGGTTTGAATCACAGATTCAAGTGTGCTGATACATACTATATAATTCCTTTAGTGGTGAAAAAATAATATAAAAAGAGCTATCAACTTGGTTGATAGAACTATCAACAAAGTGGTTATGCGGTTTATTGTCATGTTATTTGAAAGAATTCTCATCTAATTATCATTCAGAAGTACATTATTTATTATGGTTTATAAATTGTACTTAAATATTTATTTGTGTGGCATATCAGTGTAAATAATTCTTTTTATCATTAATTTCAAAAATAAACAACTTAAAAAAGTGCAATGGTTAAGGTGCAATGATCTCTTTATTTATCATTTTCCTCATTTGAATGGTAGTTTAAGTAGGTAATATATTTTTATAAGTATTAATCATTTATAAAAGGAATGGGGTAGTTCAGTGGTAATGCACTGAGCTTCCAATGCTCAAGTCCCAGGTTCGAATCCTGGCTCATGGCAGAAAAATTATTTATTCTGTTACACTGGCCATGGGGCGATCCTAGGACACACCCAGCCACAATAAAGTGAGTACTCTTAATTAAATAATTAATTGAGGAGGAAAACCTGGGCTGGGGGTTGAGTGTAATCTCCAGGGGGATAAGGGTGCTGCCCAATTATATTGGGTTGCTACAAACACAGCATACTCATCAATTAATACAATGGACAATTCTTAAAACAAATATACAGTATCATCAATTAAAACAAATGAAAAATTAATTTTTACTTATAAAAAATAATTTGGTGAAAAATAGGTTAGTTTCAGCTATGATGAAGTAATAATTATTTTAATATTTTTATCAGAAATGGATATATTGTTTTTATGTTATTTATAATGAATGTAGAATTGAATATTTAATAGTTGACCATTGCATTATAAAGGAAGGAGATGGTCCGGGGTGATGGTCATAAATAGGCTAAATAGTGGCAAAACTATTTTATTAAAAGCCAACGTTTCGACCCGACTTTGCAGGTCTTCTTCAGGGCTAGAGCTGACAAGATACAAAAAGATAGTGAGTTGTGGAAGTTACATAATATTCAGACAAAAAATTATAAACAACATGAATAAGCTTAGTGAAATTATAAACAGTAAGTACATCAAAATATAAACAGAGTAAGCCAAGTAACAAGATCTTAAACTGAAGTAAATAGATGGTAACAATTGTTGTAGTGTAATATATAATATATGCAAATGTGAATATATTTCTACAGATCTACAGGAGAGATTGAAAAGAAAAGGAAAAAGGATATAATATGAAATAACAGACATAAAGGAATGTGGAGAAAGAAAAGAAAAAACCTCTATTCTTGCCACGGTTCCTAATCATGAAAAAGACTCATTTCCGAATCCATCCACATTCACATGGAACAGAATCTTGTTAATCATAAAGTATAAAAAACTACATTTCTTTAACATATAGACACATTTTAAATCTTATAAGTGAAAAATAACTTATATATTACATCCTATTATTTTAATTTTTATTGATTAATTCAATTTAATTGTTTATTATTCTAAGTATTTCTGCTTTGTATGATCTCTCTTTTATTTTATTTTAATTTTATATTTACATTCTATATCAATGTATGATCATCCGTTTTCACTTTGTATTCATTTTACTTTTTAACCCTGTCTCAATATTATCTGATATTTAAATGTAATTTTCTTACATATTTACAACCAAATATAATTATAATTATTCATATTTTTTTCCCTCTCTATACTTCTAAATTAGTTCTGCAATGTATGGTCTCTTATTTCTATATTTATATTTTACTTCTTCCATTTTTGTTTTATTCACATTGTACTCTTATCTATAATCCCTTAATTCTGTTTTATATGTATATGTATATATTTATAATTTAATATTTCATAGGTGTAGTATTTTTTTCCCCCTTGTATCCATCCATATCTTCACATTTTAGATACTGTAATTTTCTGTAATTACCCAAACAAGTCAGCAAATTCCCCAATACCTGCCTTTACCCTGGTTTTCCAGTTCCAAGTGAAACTCCTAGCTGAACACACCTGTAAGTCTCTAATTTATTCTTCTAATTTTATTTACTTATTTATTTAATTTTTTGTTTTTCTTTTTTCTTTTCTTTCTCCACATTCCTTTATGTCTATTATTTCATATTATATCCTTTTTCCTTTTCTTTTCAAACTCTCCTGTTGATCTGTAGAAGTATATTATATATTACACTACAACAATTGTTACCATCTATTTACTTCAGTTTAGGATCTTGTTACTTTGCTTACTCTGTTTATATTTTAATGTACTTACTGTTTATAATTACAATATGCTTATTCACATTGTTTATAATTTTTTGTATCTTGTCCGTTCTAGCCCTGAAGAAGACCTGCAAAGTTGGGTCGAAACGTTGGCTTTTAATAAAATAGTTTTGCCACTATTTAGCCTATTTATGACCCCCACCCCAGACCATCTCCTTCCTTTATAATTAATGTAGTTAGTAGTCATGGGTAAGATAATTTGTTAGTTTGTTTATCTCTGAAACTATGATTGGATGATTAGATTACCTATATCTAGTATTCTTATTTATTTAGTTTAAGTTTTTTTATAAAACATCCGTTTAACAAATTTATTTCAGGTTCCAACAGGACATGTTTGGTTAAAAGGCGATAATAAAGACAATTCCAGTGATTCCAGAGATTTCGGACCAGTTCCTCTTGCTTTAATTAGAGGTCGCATTGTATGCCGTGTATGGCCATTAAGCACTTTCTGTATGTTTTGGTGATATTCATCTCCTGAATCAGAATTAATATTTAAGTCTTAAAAATGAAATCCAAAGTAACCATTATTTTATTTATGTTTAAGTTTATTTGTTCCTTGAACCAAAGTATCAAAAATATATTTTCTTTAAAATTTTAATAATTTTAAATTTTATAGTGTTAAAAAAAATTTAGTAAATGTTTACATAAATGAAAAATGTTGCCACCACTAAATTATTTAAATATTAATTTGATATCTGTAATACTTGTATTTTAATAATAAAATCAATATTTTTAGTATTTTTTTTTATCTATCCCTTAAACAGGTTTACTGATATTTCAGCATTTTTTTTCCTTATCCGTCAAGGTTTGTACAGTTTCACATGAAATATCATACTTATTGCTAAATAACAAAATAACTAGACCATCTACGCATTTGTCTATACACTAATTTTGACTAATAAAAGAGTGATTAACCTATATTTCAGCATATTGGCCTTCTAAAAACCGGTATGTACAGGGTGTTTCAGGGTTAAGTGATCAAACTGCAAAAATTTACTAAGACCCTCAAAACAAGAAAAAAATTTCCTCTGAAGGTATGTCTGTATATGCTTTGTTTAGGAGATATTCACACCTAAAGATTTTCGTTGTTATGAATTATTTATGTTATGAAATAAATAAAATCTATTTATTTGTTCTAACTACTTTATTAATTAAATTTAAACATTAACATTCATATTAAATGTTGTTCAAAGTGAAGGTATGTCTGCAAACGCTTTGTTTAGGAGATGGATTAGATATAATACTAATATGGCCTTTCATCCCTAACTGTATTTGGCAACATAAGGATTAATACTATTTGGAATTAGCATTGGGAACTCTCAGTAACATTTATCAGTTTGTAAGAGGCTTTCGCAGAGTACTCATCATTATGTCTTCCATTTATACTAATGGTGAATATGCCGATATGTTGTTTAGTTGAACATATTCCACTACAACTGAGAAGGTACATGTGGCTTCCATTAGATGGTTGTCCTGCACATTACGGAAGAGGTCCACGACAATGGCTAAATGTTAATTATCCCAATCAATAGATTGGCCTGCACGCTCTCCAGACCTGACACCACTGGATTTTTTTCTTTTGGGCTGACATTGAACAAAAAATCTATGCAAGTCCGGTCAATGACCTTAATTCCTTACGAAGAAGGATAATGGAATCTTGTGAAACAATATTACATATGCAGTGCCGTTCTGCCACTGCTGCTGTTGAAGAAAGATGCGGAGTCTGTCTTAATGCACAAGGAAATCACTTTGAACAATATTTGATATCAATGTAATGTTTACATTTAATTAATAAAGTAGTTGGAACAAATAAATAAGTTTTATTTACTTAATATAACGTTAATAATTTATAACAATGAAAATCTTTAAGTGTGAATATCTCCTAAACAAAGTATTTGCGGACATACCTTCATAGGAATTTTTTTTCTTGTTTTGAGGTCCTTAATTCATATTTTTAGTTTGGCCACTGTTCAAATTTTGGGGAGATATCGATATTCTTATATCGGCTATCATTGGTTATAAATGTGTCGATTAATCATAAGGGATCGAAATAAACAAATTTGAACAAAGATCGATATATCGGCCTTACGATGTTATTTTATCGAGTTTGGTAGACTTTGGCCCTTTTTTTATAAATTTATTTTTTGATTCTCCCTTTCCTCTAATTTTAGTAGATACCGATATTCCAAAGATCAATATATCGGCTTTACGACCTTATTTTATCATGATTCATAGTGATATTTAGAGTTTCACTTGGAATATTATTTTTTTGCTAATAAGTGTGTCATGAGATTGAGATAAACATAAGTTTGAGCAAAGACCGATATATCGGTTATATTTTCGTACTCATTTTCTTTGTCCTCCCCTTACACCGATATATCGGCCTTCCGACTCAACTTTATCCTGATTCATAGAGTTTCACTTAGAATATTATTTATATTGCTAATAAATGTGTCAAGGTATCGACATAAACATAAATTTAAGCAGATAACTATATTTTTAAGACCGATATATCAATCTGATGACTTCATTTTATCAAGATTGATAGGTTTTGACCATTTTTCAATTTTTGTTTTTGTCTACCCTTTCTCTCATTTGAGCAAGTACCAATATTCCAAAGACCGATATATCGGCCTTGGAATGCATAATACTACTGCTGCCAGTTTTCATCACTTCATTCATAGTGTCTCAAGATGTTCTATTTTCTTGATTAGACTTTTGATTATGCTTCCTGTGGGTTCGGCGACCTACCTAGTACAGGACCCCTTCTTTTTCGGATTCCAAGATTAAAATGGGCCTGCCCCACCACTGCTTTGCATAAATAAATTATCCCATTCATCAATAATGAATTGTTGCGAGATATTACCCTAACTTACTAATTGAAGAAACGCATTTCCAGTGAAAAAGTAGATTCCCGTAACTCTAAGTGAAACTCTTTGAATCTCGATATAATAAGGCCGTAAGGCCACTATGTCGGTCTTAGGGGAGGATAAATAAAGTCAATCTCGATAAAATAAGGTTGTAAGTCCAATATATCATTATCTGCTCACATTAAGGGTTGGGAGGGCCCAACAAATAAAAAATAAAAAGAAGGAACAAAAATGGTCAAACGCGAGAAATCTCGACTAAAAAAGGCTGTTATAAGGCCGATATATCGGTCTCTTCTCAAATTTATGTTTATGTCGACCCCTTGAGCGTTGACTGACACATTTATAAGCAATAAAATAAAATTCCAAGTGAAGCTCTTTCAATCTCAATAAAATAAAGTCGTTAGGCCGATATATCGGTCCAACTCGAGAATGAGCACACACAAAAAAAAAGTCAAACTCTACCAATGTTGATAAAAAAGTCATGAAGCCGATATATCGGTCTGTGGAATATAGGCATCAGCTAAAATTGTGAAAAGAGGACCAAAATAAAAATAAAAAATGGCCAAACTAAAAAATGTTTATGTCAATACCTTATGATTGATTTTCTACTTTATTAGCAATAATAATAAAATTCCAAGTTCGAAATTGATAAAATAAGGTAGTAAGGCCAATGTATCGGTCTTTGCTCAAATTTATGTCCATGTATGCTTATAAATAAATGATGGAGGATTAAAAAAAAATATGTTTATGTCGACCCCTTTATGATTGATTGATGACAAATTTATTAGCAATAAAAATAATTACCAAATTGAAATTATTTGAATTTCGATAAAATATTGTCGTAAGGCCGATATATCATTCTCTAGAATATTGGTGTCTCCTCAAATTTGGAGGGAGTAGAAAAAAAAAACTGGAGAAGGCCGATATATTGGCATATATCTACTCCAAAAAGCTGATGGAACCTCTGAGATATCGGTGATTCAATCTATTAATACAATAACGCACCCTGTCGATTTATTTATTAACTTTTTCAAATATTTATATGTTTGTGGGAAATAATATTTTATAAATTTCTTGAAAATATTGCGTCATCTCAGATTTCAACAAAATCCTACTTATTTTTAAAATCAATTGCAACATTGTTAATATCCCTCATGTTAAAAATAAAATTATGATGGAATTTTTCTGAAAGCTATGCAATGTTTTAAGTAATCTTCAAGCATTGGCATGTTAAAATGTTTATAATTTTTGGTAATATAAAATTCAGCAGAGATGGTGAGATTTATTGTATTACTAAATTACTTTTACATATATACGTATGTACGTATACACACATACACAATGTAAACATTAAACAGAAATTAGTAAACAAACAAAACCAATGTATTTGCAAAGGCACATTCTTTTAATAATATTTTACTAAATTTGGTAATAATTCCAAACACAAATGTTGTAGAAACATATTGTTTGAGAATAATTAAATAACAATAAAATTAATAAAAAGTTAAGGAGGTACTTTTTTATTGTAACTTTCATATTTTGTAAATTCTTTGACAGTTAATAACATGAAAGGTAAGTAATTTTCGGACAAATATATTTATTCAAAAATATTTACTAGCTATTGTAATTAACAACATAATGTAATGAGTTTACATAAATGCATGAATGAATTACAGGGTATTTCATAAATATAGATAATGAAAAATATTGGACCCAAATATTGGTTAGCAATTAACACCATTTTTATTCTAACATCTGCATTAGATAATTAATGAATCACTGTAGATTTTTGAAATTTTAAAAATGCATTTGCATTTTAAATTAAATAGTGAAATGATGAAATATTGATGGTATATGAATACCATAATTTAAAAAAAGCCTTATGGATATTTAAAAAAAAGTTAAGACATTCAATTCTTCGAACAAATATGTATTTGTCATATGAAATATATACTAATATACTTGACCAATTTATCACAACCAAATATAAAATAATTCAAACAGATATATATATATATATATATATATATATATATATATATATATATATATATATATATATATATATATATATATATATATATATATATATATATATGCAATTAAACATAACAGCATCAATATTTCATAATATGATATGAATGGTAACCCAATAATACCTGATTGTCAATTGAGTAAAATGTATACAAACACACAAATAAATATAAATTTTCACATATATGTGTATATATATATATATATACACACAAAACATAGATACATTGTACATTATTAAATATAAATGGTAATATATAAAAGGAACACACAGGATAGCACAATTTAATAATATATCAACAATGGCAGTAACATTAGGCAAAATCACGAGGAAATACTTGCACATAATAATTTATAAAATTTAGTTATTACAGGTCAATATGATGGATGAGCAGTTATTAATTTTCTTGACAATATGATTTCTAAGGCTTAGACTTTTTATTAGCATATTATGCCTAAAAAAAATATATTTCATATGTTGTACTTAGATTTACTTTTAAATACACATAAACATTTTTAAAAAAATTCCCACCAACAGTAACCCTGATGAAAGGTCCTTTAATTTAATTCAGTACATTACATACCATGAAATCTAGTGGTATATAATTAACATGTGTATATACATACACAATATGAGTGTGTGTGTATATTGAATGTGTGTTGTTTGAGATTTATAAAACTAAATATGAATATGCATAATTGAACATACAAAATTGATTGGATAGTGTTAAATATAACAATATGCCTTTAATATTACAAGTTCATTATTATACTATAAAACATCAAATTCTTTGTTTGTGATAAAAATAAAGAACTATAGTGTTTCTCTTTTGATTCTTGAGTTCAATATTAAATAATAGAATAAAATAATCTCACGGGTATTATTTTACTATGCAAATATTAAGTTTGACAATGGAATGTTGGCACTTAATTGAAGTAGTATAGCCTGTAATGCTTTTCTTATATTAGTAATAAATAACTAGTTATTTTATAAATTTTATTAACACATTCCACAACAATATATTTAAACTAAATACTTTCACTTGAATGCATGAAGTTGTTAAAACATACAGCCTACGTTCACTTTATTATTATTCAAGAAAGGATTGAGTTGATATGAGGAGGTTGTCTTCCTAAAACCTTTTCCATATTGATGCAGCATTCCTTTTCCCTAATTCAATTTTTTTATTTAACTTTTAAAACCTGGTGATGCCATCATATTACATGATTTCTCTAAAATTAAAATGGAAAATTATTTTTATTTTTAAGTAATATACATAAACAGGAATTATTTTTATAGGAAAGTGTTCAGTTTTATTAGCATTTTTCTTATGTAATTGTTAACCATACATATGCACACTACACATACAGAACAAAATAATTTTTCAGTTTTCATTCAAAGAAGAGTTTACAGGTTCCCCTAATCATAGTGAGCACAAGCCTGTAAATAGGATATATGACTTAGCTTATGTATGTTTCTCTGTCCGATGGCCGATCTGGTTAACTGTCAGTTTTTAGGCACAAATCAAAGAAACCGAACGGAAAACTATACATAAGTGCTAGTATAGAACTATGCTAGTGCTGCATAAGAACTCAACAGGTATTTGAGTTTCTACTCCATTTTATTTTTGTTTCTTTAAAAAAGAAGTATTTTAATTAAAACAAAATAGGTGATATGAGTTCAATATCTATCAAGTTTATTTCTGTGGAATAAAAGTGTACAGACACCCCTATTTGTGGGGTTATTTTTAGTTATTACGTGTTTATAGGTTGATGGAATTTGGGAAACATATAAATGTATCTTTTAAAATAATCTTCATGATATTTTTTGCTGGTTACACTAAAACTGTAAAAGTAACCTACAGTTATGCTTATTTTATACTCTTTGATACAAATAAAAACATACATGATGGACAAGGAATCACCAGAATAATGATAGTAAATAATAAAAGAATCATTTATTTTATGTAATATGTTTTACAGCAATGAACTAAAGAATCAGATAATTTCTAAATTATATGTACAAAAACCACACTTATTAAAAAGAAAAGCTTTTAGATGTTTTGAATGTCAAACTAAGAATTGCATTTCTCCATTCTCAGTACTTGTGCATGAACTATATATACATAATAATAAATATAAATAAAAGCTTGATTAAATAAATGAAAATACTTTTTTCCCCAAAATAACCACTAAAGTAAACCAATTAAACAATTTATTGCAATTAATGCGACTATTAATAAACATTATTCACAATTATATGAAACTTATAATTAATAAAAATAGTTTGGAAGTAATTAAAATAATATGATGGAAATATATATTATTAAAACTTGATTGTTACAGAACCAATGCTGACTAATATTTGGTTAAAAATGAAAAGAACTGATAATATTTATCTAAATTAAAAAATGTTCATTTTTTTTAATATAATTAAAACTTGGAAAAAAATTTAAACTTAATTTACTTAAAATATTTTATTAAGACTTTAATGACTAAAAAATAAGTTTAAACAAAAATAATTATTTTGAGGGCATTAATACCACACAACATGGAATTAGGAATTTCTTCCTCCAGTAAATATATTTTTATAATCCCATCTTATGTCACCAAAACCGAAATATGTGGAATATGTTAAAATAAATAATTGTAAATATTTATTTAACAAAGATTAAAACATCAAATAAATTTAATCTATGAAATAAACAAAACATAAAACTTTAATACTCAACATTGATCAATAAAAATGTACACAATATAACAATATAAAATATTAAAACAAAGACTGGATTTGCTGAAATGTATACTAAAAAAATAATTAGTGAGATCTACAAACATTACGTACTAATTTATTAATTATTAAAGCAATGGCTGTGCATACAGCTGACATAAAAACAACAGAACAATCTATCATTGAAAAAATTATAATATAAAAATGGCACTAATTCATTTTTTTTTTAAAATATACATATAAATAAATCTAAATGTTTGAATTGTATTTTTAAAAATTAGTAAACATAAATACAAACATGTTAAAGAAAGAAAGCATAACTGATAACATTCATTAATAACAATTCAGATTCTTTGAAAAAATATTAAGAATATTGTTATGATCAGCTTTAAAAAAAAATTAAAAAGATCATATTTTTTTTTCAAACTGAAATTGTTTAATTTTAAATACATAAATCTTGTTGCAGAGTTAACCTTTTAGCTGCTAACAACATTTATAGCCGACAGAACGTGTCCTTTTCTAATGACGGTTATAGTCTATGAGCTCCACTCCTGCCCTCAGCACTAACATCGCTCACTGATTTTCTCTCCATTTGCTAATGTCAAGTAGAGCTTGTAAGACTATGCTACATTGTACAGGTTTCTTAGAGAAATAAAGCTTCTAACTAGAGCCTACAGATGGTGTGGGGATTTATTTTGGAGCTTTTCTTGTACACTTCATGAACTGCTATGGGTGAATACCTGCACCGGTCTTTCTCTGGCCGTCTCGACTATTTTCGTACTTGTTTTTGCGTTCTGTGTGAAACAACTGCTCTGATTTAACATAAATTTAGTCTAGTTATTTTAGTTAGAAATTAGATCAAATAGAATTAGTTTAGTTAGTTACGTAGCCGTATAGAATTAATTATTTTAGTTGTTAGTCTTTTTTTTGTTTTATTTTCTTTAAAATAAATATATATATATATATATATATATCTATTTTCCTAATAAACCACTTTTTCTTAATTTTAAATTATAAATTATATATATATATATATATATATATATATATATATATATACACACAGATGTGTGGTTTGTTCAAACAAAAAAACTATTAGGCGAAAAACATAAGTAGAATGTCTCAATTGTAAGGTTGGTTTTGGTATTGACAAATGCTTCGAAGAGTACCAAATAAAATTCAATTATTAAATAAATAGTTAAACGTATAACAAAAAAATTTTAACTCAACCAGAATCGGTCCACAACCCAAATCAAAAAGGATGGAAAAATAAAATAGGATTAACAGTTATTAGTAAGACCCGGTAATGAAGAGTGGAAAGTAGGTAAAAAGTATATAGGATGAGCCGGTAGGCGTTTAGCCGTCTTACTTAGCACTGAGGTAGAAGTAAAGCTTGTCACTCATAGCAGCGAAAAGGTTAAGAAAAACAACTATTTTTTTTTTATTGAATTTGACATTAAGAAAGAGATTAATTTTTGAGAATTTGTCATTAAAAATAACAAGAATTCTTACTAAATATGTAATACACATTTCAATGAAATAAAAACCAAGAGACTTAAAAAATAACAAAAGAATATATCATAAAACATCCAACTAAATAGATAATAAAATTTAAAAGTTTCAAACAATAAAAAAATAATCACTAATATAACATTACAAGGTTAAAAAACTAATCAAAATGATGAATATTTGAATATACACTAAAAAATTATATTAATAAGTTTTAAATATTTCTAGCAGTTAGCAAACAAATGAATTAATACATTTTAATTTATAACACTTGCTTCATAATTTATAAATCTATTGTAATTCAATTATAAATGTTTTGTATATTTATAAAAGTTTACGATTCATTTATGAATGTTTTGTATATTTATAAATATTTACGATTCATTTATAAATGTTTCATATACTTATCAATCTTTTGTTAAGGAAAGAATAATTATTAATAGAAAACAAATAAAACATTGTTCATTTCAGGTATAAATTCATCATTTACTATTAGCCAAATTGAACTTTGAAATGAATAGGTTTAAAATAATTCTCAATACTTGTGGATTAGATGTCCTCAGGGTCAAATGGCACTGCTGGTAACAATACTGCTAAAGTCACTTATAATTGAGAAGCAATTCAATAATAATAATTTTTTAAAGAAAAAACAGTAAATTATCTCTGAAAGGGACCAAACCACACCAAATCCATGGTTTGTTTAAGTAGTCTTTCATAAGCATCGCAACCTTATTTCAAGTTTTGAAATCTAAATATTACATTTTTGTGAAACTAGCTAACATATTATCACCAGGAAAAAAAAAATATTATGATAGTACATATAACTAGACATTAAAGAACTCCTAACAACTGAAATGGATACTCACAACATTTGGCAAGAATATTCAAAATTGATAAAATAAGAAATAAAATGATCGAGAAAAGATGGGGAACAAAAAAAAAAATCAAAAAGATTGAAAAAATTCCGTAAAAATATGTCTGAAGGAAAATTGCCAAGGGAAGTCTACCTTTGGAAAATTAGCAGATCTGAATAGAAAAATTATAAGTTAAGAAAAGGCATTGTTTAATAGATAAAGCATAAATAAAAATTTTAAAAAATCTATGCAATACACTAATTTTTTTGTATACTTTACTTGTTTAACACAAAATTAAAATTTGTTTATTTATCACAATGATTCATAAACTTAAAAATATAAACCCTTTATTCAAATAATACTTTAATGACATTAGATGGACATCTAATATACAAGTAGCAATATTTTTTAACAAATATTATTGTGTCTAAATATACATCGAATACAATATAAATTTAACTATATATTATTGCTGATGGTAACTCATTTTTATTGTAAGTAATCTACATACTCAGTAAAGCTGTGAATTCACATCATCAGCATAGCAAAAATATTTTAAGTCTGTTCAAGTTAAGGATATGAAGTCATGAACAGAACAGGACATAATGCAAGACATTGATCACAGAATATGAATCGTCGACAGCCTTTATCTTGACCAACTTGTGATAATTTATAATTTACTTAAGTGATCATATAAAAGATAAAAGAATTATAATGTTATGTCATCATTAGATTAATTAATGATTTTCTTATATACTATAAAATGAATTAAATTAGTTCTTTACTACAATAAGTACTATTAAATTATAAATTGTTGATTTTATTTACATGTCAATTCTAAATGATTTGACCAGGTTATATAAAAATTCAAGTAGAATACAAATACATAAAGGTATGCAAGTTAGGTGAAACCTAATACTACTGAACTTATAAGGCATTGAAACACAAAAACATTAATACTGAAAAGCTACCTACAACTTTACTAAAATATGAAAGGCATTTATGAGAACAAAATTTAATTATGCAAAGTATGGATAGGGATTAATACTACCATTGTAAGTTTAATATAGAGGTAAACTGATAATTGTAATATTATTTTTATACAACAGCTTGAATTATTAAGGACATGAACAATTCTGGTCTATAAATCTGTTTGTGTTTGTATGATACAAATATAAGAGAGAAAACCTAAACATTTGACCACAACCTTTTTACATACCAAATAAAATCAGTTAAATAACCTAAGAAAAAACGTCTGTCAATAGACACCACATAACACAACAAAAAAATAAAAGCTTTATAAGAAAATTTTTCAAAAAAACATCAGTACAACAATGATGTTCTGAAATAATTTTAGGAAATTATTTCAATATCATTGTTGTACTCGGAAACATCATTGTCTTAAATAAAATTGTGTAAATTTAGGAATTTCATTAAAGATTTATAAAATTAATATTTTATAAAAAATAAAATAAAATAAATATGGAAGCATTGAGGAAAATATTTTAAATGAAGGCTCACTAATTAATAAACGAATAAAATAACTGGAATAAACAGTCAAAAAATAGACCAAGAGAAAATTGATCATTTTGTAAGTGTGCGAGCATTTGTGCATAGAACTCATGATTTCCTTTTAAAAATTTAAAATAAAACAAATTCAGACTAAATCTGTTTATAGACGAGGGAGCGACTCTTTCAACAAATATAATATAAATTTCCATCTACTTACATCATTAACCCTTAGCATTTCAGGCCAAGTCCTTTAAGATATCTTTATATTGAGAGCTACCTGACATGGTAGCTCAGCTCTGTTGATTATGTACATCACCAAAACTGAACTTATATCCATACAGAGAGCCATGAATGCTCTGTTGTACCTCAGTGATATACTCGAACCCACAGTAACACCAGTGGCAAACAATTATGGCCAATGGTATCCCCTGGTTGCCGACAATCGGGCGAAAATCATCCAAGAGAACCTTTGTAAAGTAGATATAAAATGAATGAAGTGGCCATTATCTATTCCCTCCCAACATGAACCCCATTAACTGTCTTAGAGCAGTCCTAAATTGACCAAACATTTCCACCATGGCTCAAATCAGAGAAGAATAAAAACTTAGACCCAAACCCATTAATCATTTAACCTGCCTGACCTCCTGTAGGCCTTAATTGGTGGTACAGGGGACAATAAAATAATACCAACAACTGTGAACAATAAAATAATTTTTTTTATCTGTAAAATTTGAAGAAGTGATTTGATTTATTTTATTTTTTCATTTTGCGCCTTCTGAGAGAAACAGCAATTTCATTACTAAAAACAATATTTTGGAGTAAATAATGCATCTATTTTATGTCATTCAATCACTACTTCCTAGTACTTAGTTAAAAGTGAGATAATACAGAACATTTTTTGATTTGTGTATTAGGAAAAATAATATTTAAAGATACAGTTCCTTTGAGGTACACAAAGTAATCTAACCTCACATTTCCTACACATAACCGAATAAGCTTACATTACTGCTTTTCAGAGAGAATAGCCAAGTAACTTGTGCTAACAAGGTTTTGGGATCATACTTGATTTAAGAAGGGCATTAGCTATGCTACGCTTAAAATCTTTGGGACAGTTTTCTCCACCATCTCTTTTGAAAAACTCACATGAATTTTATAGGGAAAAAGAGATCAGGTTTTCAACATTTTAAACCTTCTGCAGAAAGTCTCAACAAAAACATCGAAATCAGAAATCATTTTGTCTCAACAAAAAAATATTTAAAATTAGAGATAAAAATAAAATACTAATTGTTTTATTTTAGAAATGATCCAAAGTGAACTGGTGTCATATTTAATGTATAATGTGTCTTATAAGACATAAATAATTTTATAGCCAGTATTTTCATTCAATGCAAATTACAACAATTTAACATCAACTATTCATAAGACAACTATTAAATCAAGAAACAAACAATTATTTTTGGTAATAGTAGGAAACAAAACGAACAAGTGAAAAAACATTTAAACACAGTCACTGCTGATTCTTCAGTTTTGAATGATGCAATGAAGTTACAGGAGGTTGTTTTGAGTTACCTAATATACACCCAGAAAATGTTCACACTTTACTGTAATAATAACACAGTATAGAACTAAATATGCAATTGAAATAGACCTCTAGCAAGCCTTTAAAACAAATCAAGATAGTTGTATATACTATAATGTACATTGCCTGGTTAGGGATTAATAGTTTATGAAAGTTAATAATAATGATAAGAAAAATGTTAATTAAATCTCACAAAAGTTATTTTCAATCAAATGACCAAGGTCTTCAGGAATTTCCAAAGAAAGAAAAAAATTAAAGCAAAGTAATACACAGCTGCTAACTGCTATTCCTTAAAATACTACATGTATCTTTAATGAATTTATGATCAGGATTGTTGATAATTGACACAATTATTGATAAGAAAAAACAAAAAACTGAAAATATCTCCAAAATAATACAATGAATGTTCCACAATATTAGTGAATTTTAGAAGCACTACAAGAAGAAATGACTTATAATGTATAATAATATGGTCATTAATACTTACTGGAGATACACTTTAAAAACTGTGATGAAAAATCTATTTTAGTTAAGAGGAATTTGGGGAAGGGCAATGATTTTAATAGACTTGGCCTGCTCTATAAAATACCCCAAGCTTAATATTTACCTGAATGTTTCTAGGACGGACAGGGGTTTCTGCAACAAAACTCTAATTCAGGTTAAACTTTGGCCTATCCTAAGTTCCTTTGAAAAGAAACAGATGCTAAAACTTATATTATTTCATTTAGTACTAGATAAGGGAAAGGGAAATTAAGCTATTAAAGGAAATAAACAGGAGGAACAAGATTAATGGAATTTGAAACTTAAAAAGACCTCCTAACACAAACATATAAATAATTTCTATAATTAAAAGGAAACAACCTTTTTACAACAATAGTCATTCAGTTGTTCACTAAAGCTTCAACAGTATAATTTTTTTTTTTTGTTAAGTTATTGATCAGGATTAACTTAAATTTTAGTTTATATGGCTCACTGGGTTCATAATACACAATTATAGTGATAAATATACAAGAAGACAACATATCTTTAGAAATATAATTAAAACAATCATGTCAATGGCATTTAATTGCATCAATACTACTGAAATGATTAGTAACAATAAATTAAAATAAATTATAAGCTATATAAATTTTTTGAAAATATTTTTACATGCATTCACACATGCGTGCTTTCACATAAATGTATACGTATAAAATGAACGTATGTTTAAAATATTTTAACGATCAATGGAGCATACAAATGAGTAAACTATTTTATATCCCTTTACTTTAAAACTAAATACAATTCATAAAATGGTATAAAGACATATAATTATAACATTGGTATGGTCTCCAGTTTCTGCTAAATTATCTTTGACATGCATGCTTACTTCCATGATTCACGAAGTTCCCATGAACATCAGGAAAAAATCCACATGTCACCATAAATTCTATAAAAGTTAAGAATAAAACCAAATATAATTTTAACATCAAAATAGAATAAATTTCCATAATTTACTTTCATTTATATATACTTATTATTTTTTTTTTACCCTGAATATCACAGGTCTTTCAAAACAAGGTTTAACAAATATAAAACACTTATATATTGACACTAATAACAATATCATCATAATTAAATTATGTTAATATAATAATACATCTTTCTCAAAAGTCGTTTACATAAAAATTGAAAAAACAAAACAAAACAAAAACAATAACAACAACTAAATTGCTGTTTTCATACAATATTTTAATACTGCTCAAATCAAGGGACATATCCTACCTCACACTACATAATGGATAATAAATTTCGGCCTAAAATGACAGTCAGCAAGATAAGTGTAACCTTTTCAGTAAAAAGGTTCTGTATATCCATAAAACTAAATCGAGGTAGCAAAGCTAATTAAAAATTCAACATTATTATTTGCTCTGTCATTTTTCAGGTAATAAAATATAATAAAAAAAATGACACAATTATAAAAATCACCTCTTCCTAGAGTTGATATACTACTTAATCTTCTTCATGCACTTAATGGATTTACCAATGGGTTAAATACTTCAATAAAGGTGAAATTTTATTCGGAGAATAACAAATTAAAATACTGATTAATTCATGATCTGGCATCAGCTGCACTATAAGAGGATCCAAATATTTCATGTAATTGGGCTTCATAATCATCAAAATTCCTTTTCATGATATCCATGCAAGGTCCCAATAATCTTTCAAATGCTTCAACATCCAAAACTAAAAGGAAAACAAAATCATTTGTAATAAATTATTTTTACATCATTCATAACTTAACCAAATTTACATTTAAAACAGGATGAGTCTAGCTCTAGCATCCTTTTAGTAAAGACACTCTAAAATCTCTGTATTACTTTGTTTATTTTTTTTTTTTGTTTTCAGAGAGAGAAATTTATAACTTCAACACTGTTTCATTTAATGTTATCAAACTTCAGACCTTACATTATTTTATCGAAAAATTGGTCAAGTAAGAATGCACCTTATGGAAGTGTAGTCAAAATGAAGATAAAGCTACTTCTAACTTTTCTGGACAATCCAACAAAACTGAAGAGGAGATTAAGGTTTGGTTGAAGACGGGAAATTCTTGTTATTTTTCTGTGATAAAACTACTTAGCTTATGCCTTCTGTTTCGAAACTTAAAAATTAGAATTCACAAAACCATTATCCTGCCTGTAGGACATCTCATGACACTCACTTCTTCTTTCAGAAAGTGAATGAGGGCCACATTGCCTTCAAACCAAAAGTAACCATAGGCAAGAATGAAAACAAAAGACGGGAACCTGTTGACGGTGAGAGAGGAAATTCTGAAGAGAGCAATTCAGCGGTGCGCTTCAAAAAGAGAACTTTGAAGGAGAAATAGCCAGAGAAGAGTACAACTTCTCTAATGATGCTGAGCCACTGGATGATGAAGACATAGGAGCGACCATAGCGAAGCTGAAAAACAACAAAGCTCCGGGGGGGGGGGGGGACTGGATGGAATTCAAACGGAGCTGATATGCTATGGAGCAATGCAACTGAGAAAGGCGCTCCATAACCTCATTTTGAAGATATGGGAGGAAGAAAAGTGGAAAAGGGGAATTATCTACCCACTGCACAAAAAAGGGGACCACTCAGAATGCGACAATTATTGAGGCATAGTGCTCCTCTCATGTGATAATAAAATTCTCTCCAACATCCTATTTGAGAGACTAGTTCCTCATGCCGAGAGGGAGATAAGCAAATATCAAGCAGGATTTAGGCAAGGGAGGTCCACATTGGACCAACTGTTCTCACTGAGGCTGATGCTGGAGAAATGCAACGAGTATAGAACAGTTACCCATCACTTCTTTGTTGATTTTAAAGCCGCCTATGATAGTTTAACTGGGCTGGAGCTCTATCTAGCCCTGTTGGAAATGTACGTCCCAATTTAACTGATATGTCTCGTGAAAATGACGATGTCAGACTCGAAGTGTTCAGTATGAGTAGGAAGTGACTTCTCGGAGGACTTTCATACTAACTGCGGTGTAAGACAGGAGGATGTTCTAGCCTCTCGTCTATTTAACTTTGCTGCAGAGAGAGCCGTGCATATGTCCGTAATCCAACTCCAAACAATCCTTCTTAACAGTACTGTTCAGTTTCTGGGGTACGCTGACGACTTTGATATTGCCACCAGATCGGAACGTGCATTAAGAGAGTCGTTCTAGGTCACAGAAGACAGCAAAGAAACTTGGGCTACACACTAACGAAGCTAAGACCAAGTATAAGAGAGTTGGAGGAGATGGGCTAGGGACCGGTTCTTTTGTGGCAGGACCAAATAATTTCAAAAAGATGAGCAGCTTTGTCAACCTCAGGTCTGAGATCAACTCCGAAAACGACATCTCTCGAAAAGTCAACAGGTTAGCAATGGCGAGACTTTGGCCTTGCGAAGCATTTTAGAAGAGGGTTCCTCTCTAACAGGACCAAGATCATTCTCTACAAAGCCTTGGTCCACCCTGTTTCAACTTATGGATCAGAAGTATGGGCCTTTAAGAAGCAAGATGAAAATAGACTTTTGATCTTTTACAGATCAATCTTGAGAAGAATTTTTGGTCCTGTTAGAGAGAGTGGAATTTGGAGAAGGAGAAATGCAGAACTCGCTGGCCTTTATAAGGATATAGACTTGGTCACGTTTATCAAGATAGGATGACTTCGATGGGGCGGGCACATAGCAAGTATGGAGGATTCAGAGATAGCCAGGAAGATGCTGTCCGTAAAGATGCATGAACAAAGAAATGTTGGCAGGCCTAAATGTAAGATGGGAGGACTCAGTGACATCGGACGCACGGGCTCTACTGGGAGTATTTCTTTCTTTCTAGGAACAATAAAAATAAGGTTTTCCTGTGGCACAGTCCAGTGGCTCTCAGAAACCACCAGAACCTTCCCTCAGCAGAAGCGTAGAGCCAGAGCCACCACTAAATGTAGCGGGTCTTCTCTACTATTTCTAACATCTTTGATAAGTGCCCGGGGAACTCTCAGTTCCCAGCACAATGCCTTATTTCATCTAACCCCTTCCCTGACATTATACAATTCTTGCACTTTGGTGGGGAGCCACTTATCCTAATAATACATAGTCATTTGCTACTGATTGCTGCATTTACTGATAGTCATTTGCTTTATGCCAACAACTGCCATACCATCTGCATGTAAGGTGTCTTTCTTAGATATAGCTTTGGTATGGCCATATTTCTGATATTTCAGACACAGGCGAGCGAGCATCCAAGTCCAAGTTCCTGATGGCCAATGTCCAGACGCTGCAGGAGAATTTTTCTATTTCCAATGTCCAGAAGCTGCAGGAGAAATCATCTATATGCAAGACTGTTTTTCTCACGGACAAATGAACCTCCACTACTCAGTTTTTCTTGAGGTTCCTTCTCTCAGTATTAGAAAAATACGGTCTGACCCACTCCTTTCTGTTACTCTTCTCGAGGTATATTTATTCTGCTGCTCTCAAGTTTTCCCCATAGAAAGTCCTCCAAGTCAGGGAATACCAATCCTCGGGTACTCCACTGATTTCTAGCTTCGGTCTCTTTGTTCTTACCAGGTTAAGTTTTAGTCCTTGGTTCTGCAAAGCCTGCATCTCCATCAGCATCTTAGCTTGCTCTGCTCCCTTAGTCTTCACCAGGACAGTGGTGTTCTTGTTGGTGAGTCCTATTACTTGAGCGGTAATCTGTGTACCCTGTAGTTCCTCTTCCTTTGGGAGAACCTCCCATATATTTCTGGGGTTCCAGTTTTCTCTTTCATCCCTTATAGTGACATACATGGGGGTTTCTTCTGGTGTTGTTGGAGAGAGACGATTTGCCGTTCTCCTTAATAGTTCACTAATGACTTGTGGTTTTGGTGCAGGTTTTTGAAGAAAGTATGAATCAAAGGAGGGCATGTCTATATCACTTGGCAAATATGCAATGGTATTCCAATCTGAAATACTGGCGGTATCTCACTGTGCTTTAAAGCTGTTGCTAATATGTGTTAGAGGGGCAGAGGATCTCCATCTTTACTGACAGCCAGGTGGCACTAATAAGAGCACTGGGCAACTATACAACTAGAATGATTCAAATATTTATTTCAAAATAAAATTAATGAAAGGCTGAATGATCTGCATTTTAGTTTTTATAAATTTTTAAGGAATTTAAGGAAGGCTGCAAATTATTTCACAATAGTTTATTATTTCCAAACAATTATGCATCTAAAGTAACATTATCTTCCTAGTAACAAAGAAAATTTTTTTTATCATTAGTAATTACTAAAAAAAAAAATAGCATTACTTCATTAACACATTCAAAAATCCAAATCCAAAACAAATGATATAGCCTTTGCAGTAGAACATCTAGAGACCATATCTTTGCTCCAATTGTCCGATTTTAACGATTTTTTTTTTAGGAAATTTCATATAACTTTTAAATAACCATACAATACAATATCAACAAAAAATTGTTTACTTTTTGAGTTATTCGGAATCTAATTTTACCACCCCTCTTAACTTTTTTTCCAGCTTCTTTTTGTTGAAGTATGTTAAATAGATAAATTTAAAGGGCATCAAGGAGAGGACTAGCCAAATTCCATTGAAATCGGTACATTCGTTTAGGTGTATGTCTATAGCATAGTCTGTAGCAATGTAAGTTTTTCGGCAGCCATCTTGAAAGCAAAAGGTGGATAGTAATATCGATGAAGAAGGATCATCCTCGAGTGACCTCTGACTTTAAATCCAAATTTGAAAAAAATCGGTTAAGTTTTTGATAATTGGTATATAATTTTTATATACAATATGTTATTTTTAAAAAGAACATACGTTACTTGTATTGATTCATATAAATGAGCAAAATTTAGCATACTCTTGAGAAATGTAATGAAAGGGATTGAAAAAATCAGAGAAATCATTACTACATTCATAAATTTTGGAGTGAACATTTATTTATTCATTTTCATTTTATACTTACAAGCAATTTTCACAAATCCAACGGCATGAGCAGAAGCAGCTCTAGGCTTATGAGTTACTAATGCTAACTCACCAAAATAATCACCATGCTTCAATTGCTTAATCTGTTTTAAAATAAACAAAGAATGTTTAATTAGTATATCATTCAGAATAATTACAAAATAGTGATCAATAATTAATTATAGATACAAACAAAAGGTCACATAACAGTAGAAACAACTTGACATATCTTAAATATGTAGACTATCCTGGAATTTAAAAAAAAAACAATTGTATATTTCGCATGGTCTATATATCCACACACACAAGCATACACATATTGAACCAAAGTAACATCAGTAATCAATGCACAAGATCGAATTATGCCAAACATCAGTGAACCCTAAGTTGGAGAAGACTACTGACTAATAAGGCCAGTTCAACATTATTGTATACAGTTCAAATATGGATGTAAGCCTTCCAAGTGCACTCATATAGCCTGTATATCTATGGTCTCATCAAACCAAAAAAATCTCAAAATTCATTTTTACTTGTTTACCATGCTTTGGTTGCTATGAAAAAGTGATATTTTCCTACCTTATCAAATTGGTTTAATAGTATAAATTTTGTAGATGATGAATAAAATTGAGAAACAAAAGTGGTTTTCATGTAAAACCCTTTTATAAATCTTATTTTATGATTTTGGTGTTGAAAGAATGTGTAATAAGCTGCTCATTTTGTTTTATGCCAACTCAATGTACTTAAAACAGCTCTCTATATTTAATTAAATTTATGTAGAAATAATATTGAATATAGAGAATTTTTTTAAAGTACATTGAGTTGGCATAAAACAAAACGAGCAGCTTACTATATATTCTTTCATAAAAAAAAAAAAAAATACATATAATATATATATTTTTTTTTTTGGTTGGTGCTACAGACCTTGTAGATCTTCCAGACCACATTCAGATTCTTGATTGAAGTACACGGGGGTAGGGTCATCAGTCCTATGCCTGGTTGGAGTGTGACCGGGAAGGGGGGGGGGGTCTCGGGCAGCAAGGCTTTCTCTGGTGGATGGTCACCCAAATCAGGCAGTCACCCATCCAAGTGCTGACCAAGCTCGGCAATGCTTAACTTGGTTACCTATTGCAAACTCCTTAGCCCGCACGACTAAACCCAGCTCCTATATATACATTTGCTCAAATTCGTTAGTTAGCACCTTCTCAAATCAATCCAAGACCACGAATTTTTAAAGAAATCTATGCCGGATGCAAATAAATTAGCATTTCGCTGAATCCAATCTATGGGTGAATGGAAGGCATAATTAGTTGAAGGGAAATTTCTGGAAAAAATTGAGGGTGACAAAGATGGACAGGAACTAGAAAATTAATTTTATTAAGGAGGGTAGAATTGATATTTCCATTAATTAATTTAAAGAGGAAAATAACATATTTTTTTATCCACATAAGTGCTAGAGAATCAATATTTATATACACCGATATTCATGTTTCAAAAATGTTTATAATATCGAATATCGAAATTGAAAGTCTGATAATTTGATGGTATCGATAGATAGTTATATGCTGATATTAATATCAATATAGGACCTTCGATTTAACATTCCTAGTCTAGGGAATAAGGAATGGACTGATCTCATAGAACACGCAGTGAAGGAATAGGAAATTGTAAGGGACAACTATGCACTCTATCCTTAAAATCAAAGAATATTTGGTAACTAACAATGGTGTCACAATTGACACTTCAAGACAACACAGACCTAATAATGGTATTAATTGTTACACAGAAGGCTCACATATGACCTGTGGGGCTCAGGAGCCAGAATCTACAGACTCTCTGAAGGTACATCTATACAGCACCTTCTCCCCATATTAAGAAGGAAACCTACGTTTAGGAGTCCATAGGTTGAGTATAAATATTTTAAGAAGCAAGATAATATTTTAAGTAATTGTTGGAAACGCACCAACTGGGTCGTCCTACGACAATGATTTTTATTTATAATTGCAAGTCAGTTCTTAACCAGCATTTAAGCAGATATATAAATATTTCTGATTATTGTGTATTTTTTAAGCGTTTCCATAAAATTTAAATCCATTGAAAGATGTTTCGAATATGGTAAAAAATTCTACCAAAATATATAACATTTTTCCATCAGTTTTGGAAATGCACCTTCCTTGGTAGTCTTACAAAATTGATTTTTGCTCACCTTGCCTTGCTGAATATTTTAGAAAAAAAAACTCAACCATTTACCAATCGGTCGAAGAAAAATCAAACATTTTACATGATTAAGGGCTGCAGTTTTGAAAACGCACTCAAATTGAAAATCAGATTTTCGTTCAGCACTTAACTAGATACTAAAATTATTCAAATAATTGTAGTTTTTAAATGTTCCCAGTAATTTTAAATTGATTCAACTTTGTTTCAAATACAGTTAAATGGACTGAATATTTTAGAAAAAATCCTGGTTGTTTGAAAAGTTGGTTGAAAAGAACTCAGAAATTTGACACATCTGTCATTTTTGAAAATGCACCAGAGTGCAAACATTTCCATTATGGCTTTACTGCATGTAAGATAACTTGTTAAATTTGTAGGTGTTTATCTTTCTGGTTAATGGGATCTTAAACTTTGCCTATTTGAGTACAAATTCTCCAAAATGCACCCGGTTTGGACAGCAAGACTTGAAGATCCTAGTTATACTCGATAAAGACTCTCATTTAAGACTATCAGTAGCTAGAAGCTATTCGCCCATTGAATAAAAGTGTCATTGGCTCCTAGTCTATTATAATCATTAAAGAAGTACAAAACACTTCCTCAGCTTTCTCAATTGTATAAAGTTCCTTTTATTGTACCTTAATTTTTACTAACATATTCAAATTCATAATGTTATAAAACTGAAGAGAAAATAATATTTATTATTTAATTAATAGTTATTTAATTTTAAAATTTTTTCTTCAAATGAGATTTTACTGGAATAGACTACTGTGGTTTCTTAGTTTGGTTTCATGAAAGGTATGCCACTTTTTTTAAAGACTCCATATTTTTTTTTTAAATAAAACATTTCCTGACATAAAGGATAATACCATTTAATTTCCGAAATTTTGAGGTCTGAAAACTCTTATTCTAAAAATTTAAGCTAATTCTTACCATAGGATTTTGAGATCCATTTAGTAGACAGAAATTGCTCCTATTACAGTGTAGGATACCAAAAATTTTAATGAAAATAATTTAGCACAGGGTTTGAAATTGATAATTAAAAAAATTAAAAACAAAAAAAAATCATTTGATGATTTTTATTTTTGATCATGAGTGATGAAAACCATAACCTGATCATTATTTTCAATCAAACTTTTAAAAATCAACAATAATAATAATTTTTGAGTAATACATTTTTAAATCAGAAATTTAAATTCTGTGTATAATCTCTATGATATATTTTCAGTCTAGAGTAGTAGGTGAAAAATATTGTTATCAATCATTAGCTACAGAACATCTTTATTTCTGAAATTCATTAGAAATTTTGACTTACAAAAAAAAATATTCATACTTAATATATATAGTATATGTATAATATATATACATATACATCGACCCACTTGAGGTTGAAAAACCAGATACTCTGGATGTGGAAATAGCTATCGGCAGGCTTAAAAGAAGAAAGTCTCCAGGAATAGATAACCTACCATCAGAATTGTTCAAGGATGGGGGAGAAGAACTCAGAGCGAAGCTGTTAGATCTAATCCAGAAGATATGGGAGAAGGAACGGATACCAGGAGCATGGAACACAGGGTTGATATGTCCTACCCTTAAGAAGGGCTCCATGTATGAATGTGGCAATTACAGAGGCATAGCACTTCTTCCGGTCGCCTATAAAATAATGACTAATATTCTGCTAAATGGGATATAGCATTTCCAAGTCAATTTCAACCTTTTCCAAATCAAATTCAACCTTTTCCAAGTCAAATTAAACCTTTTCCATTTCAAATTCAACCTTTTCCAAGTCAAATCCAACCTTTTCCATTTCAAATTCAACTTTAGAATTTTTGTCAATTTTTGAAATGAAGGCCACTTACTATATTATCGAAGGCATAGCTTTTGAAAATACAAAAAAAAATTTGATAACGCGGTTGCATATCCATTTATTTTAACATTTTAGATTTTTTCAGTGTGATATTTCTATGTCATGTTCAATTATTTCCAAGTCAAATTCAACCTTTTCCAAGTCAAATTCAACCTTTTCCAGATCAAATTAAACTTTTTCCAAGTCAAATTCAACCATTTCCATTTCAAATTAAACCTTTTCCAATTCAAATTCAACCGTTTTCATTTCAAATTAATGTTTTAATTTTTTGTTAATTTTATATATTTTTTTAAAATAATGGCCATCCACTCCCCCCCTCCAATATGAAAGTCTATTATTATGCTCTCCTAAGTAGAATTTTCACTTATGGATATCGATTTATTGTACCTATTCGGATTTATTAGGGACTAGTATTATGCTGTCCTGTACCAAGTTTTGAAAATAACCTCCATTTTAAGATTACGTGACTGTTTTTCGAATCATTTAAGTTTTTTTGAATTATTCGGTATAAGGGTGTATTTGTATGTTTACGCCACTGTGTTTTACTTATTTAAGTTTTTAGAATTTATCCAATATAAAGGTCTACTTTTATGTTTCCGGAGCCGTAGATTTTGAAAACGACCTCCATTTTAAGATTAGGCCACCGCATTTCGATTTCTTTGAGTTTTTCGGATTTTTTTTTCATATGAGGATGTATTCTTATGTTTCCGGAGCCGTAGATTTTGAAAACAACCTCCATTTTAAGATTAGGCCACTGCATTTCAATTTTCTTTGAGTGTTTTGAATTTTTACCATAAAAGAGTGTATTTTAATGTTTCCGGAGTCGTAGATTTTGAAAATGACCTCCATTTTAAGATTACGCCACTGCTTTTCGGCTTATTCAAGTCTTTCGAATTTATCCAATTTAAAGATCTACTTTTATGATGCCGGAGCCTTAGTTTTTAAAACGACTTACATTTTAAGATCAGGCCACTGTGTTTCGATTTTTTAAGTGTTTTTGATTTTTCCTTCGAATAAAAAACAAAATACGAAGGATTAATTTATCTTTCAATAAATAAATAAAAATATCTAATCAAAATAAATAAAATATGTATTGTCTCATTTTTAATTTAATTTATTGTCTCATCTTTTTTAATGTTGTGGTCTCCTGTCACAAAATTATAAGATTTCGAACAATTAGCTGAAAAATCTGAATACGGAAGGTTAAATTTATTACCAGTTGCTTTTCGGCTTTTTAGTTTGTATTCTGTGGTTAATTTAATTTTAGCTTCATAATATTTATTTATTTATTCATACTCCAAAACATATTGATGAAACTTTGCATTGAAAAAATCCAAAATGAAGCCTAATTAATCGAGATTCAGCGGCTTAATCAATCATAAAATGGAGCTTAAATATTAGATAAATTTAAATATTAAAGATCAGAAAAATTTCAATACGTCTCGGATAACATATAATTAGATCCTTATAACAAAAAAGTAAAAAAAAAAAAAACTTTTATAATCCAAAACACAGTGGCATAAACTTGAAATTGGGTCATTTACAAAATGGGAGAAATCTACTGCTCCAGAAACATAAAATTAGACCTTTATACTTTTTAAATTCTAAAAACTTGAATAAGTTGAAACACAGTGGCGTAATCATAAAATAAGAGGTCATTTTCAGAATCTACGGTTCCGAAAACATAAAAATTAGACCTTTAAATTGGATAAATTCGAAAAACTTAAATAAGTCAAAATGCAATGGCGTAATCATGAAATGGAGGTCATTTTTCAAAATCTACGGCTCAAGAAACATAAAAGTAGACCTTAGTATTGTATAAATTCGAAAAACTTAAATAAGTCAAAACACAGCCACGTACTCATAAAATGGAGGTCATTTTCAAAATCTACAGCTCCTGAAACATAAAAATACACCCTTACATCGAATAAATCAAAAAAACTTAAATAAGTTGAAAATCAGTGGCATAATCTTAAAATGGAGGTCATTTTCAAAATCTACAGCTCCGGAAACATAACAATACACCCTCATATGAAAAATATCCAAAAAACTCAAATAAGTCGAAACGCGGTGGCCTAATCTTAAAATGGAGGTCGTTTTCAAAATCTACGGCTCCGGAAACATAAAAGTAGACCTTTATATTGGATAAATTCTAAAAACTTTAATAAATCAAAACATAGTGGCGTAAACATAAAATGGATGTCATTTTCAAAATTTACTGATCGGGAAACATAAAAATACACCCTTATATCGAATAAGTCAAAAAAACTTAAATAATTCGAAACACAGTCACGTAATCTTAAAAAGGAGGTTATTTTCAAAAACTACTCATAAGATAACAGACCCACACATCGAAAAATTAAAGATAATTAAATAAATAAAAAAAGGTTGAATTTGAAATGGAAAAGGTTTAATTTGAAATGAAAAAGGTTGAATTTGACTTGGAAAAAGTTTAATTTGATTTGGAAAAGGTTGAATTTGACTTGGAAGAGGTTGAAATTGACTTGGAAATGCTATATATCCATATTATGAAAACATAATAGGAGACCATCAAACAGGATTCAGGAGAGGGAGGAGTACGCTAGATCAGATATTCATCCTGAAACAAGTATTTGAAAAACGGCGGGAAGTAGATCAGGGCGTACACGCATTATTTGTTGACTTCAAATCAGCCTTTGACTCCGTTGAAAGAAACTGTCTCTGGAAGATCATGACTGAGTTGGGTGTTCCCGGGAAATTAGTGAGGTTGACGAAGGTGTATACAATTGATAGACTTGCTCAGACTCTATTAAAAGAAGCAGAGCAAATCGGACTACAGGTCAATGTAGATAAAACAAAATACATGCTAGTTAGCCGAAACATCCACCCTAATAACATGATCTGCGTGGATTCTAAGTCATTCCTGAAAGTAGAGTGATTCAAATACCTCAGCTCCACAATAAATGATCAACTAACAGAGATAGACCAGCAAATAACAAGTACGAACAGATCTTTCTTCTCTCTTTCAAAGGTACTGAAATCCAGAAAAATCTCCAGAAATCTCAAAATAAGGGTGTACAACGCCGTTATTAAGCCAGTTCTGCTGTATGGTTGTGAAACCTGAGCTTTAACAGGCACATTAGAAGCCAGAATTGAGAGATTCGAAAGAAAAGTTCTACATAGGATAACAGGACCTATATGGGATCAGAACCTTGACACATGGAGGAGAAGAAACAATAAAGAACTGCTGAAAGAAACGGGTCAGTCAATATCTCATGACATGAAGGCAAAGAGGTTAAGATGGGCAGGGCATGTACCTCGTAGCAATCCATCAGGACTACTATTATTGGAATGCCAGAATAGTGAAGAAAGGTCAAGAACTTTATTTATAAATAACTAATAAAATATTTGATTAGCAAATTTTTTAATGGCATATTCAAGTACTATTTTTCTTAATATTTAAATTTTTGAATGTTCTGTCCTCTATACATATAAAACTAAAAGTATAATTAGAAAGTTCATATTCATAATTAATAAAGTATAAACAATATAATTAAACTTTACCTCAACATCTTGTTCATTTTCATCTTTTACAGATATTTTTACAGAACCCTGCTCAATAAAATACATCCCATCAGCTGCATCTCCTTGAGTTATTATTTTCTGTCCATCTATGTATGTCTGCGGTATTAAAGCATCGGCCAATGTCATTCGTTCATATGGCTAAATTAGGAAAAATAAAATAAGTAAATAAATATAAATATATATTTATATATATATTTAAATATACATACACACAGACACATACACATATATGTATATATATATACACATATATATGTTTACAAGGTATCATTTTTACCTTTGTTCCCTTCGGTTTTTTTTTTTTTCGTTTAATTTTATTAGTATTTTTCCCACCTTTGAGGAAGCTAAGCAGGGAAAGATTTGTGTTTCATTTCGAAATAACCCTGGCCTCAACATCTATTGGTCCAGTCCGGGTCCAATATATTGGCCCCTGAATTGTTTTGGTTCTCCGATTTTTGTTATTCCTCATCATTTATTATTTACGAGTAAAATTATTTTTTGTTTGGGAAAGTATTATTTTATTGTCTCTCGTTTTTCGTATCCTTTTTAAATTGCTCCTTTTATTTGTTTTTTTTTTTCTCTTAATATATATATATTTTTTTTTGGTAATATTCGTTGTTTTTATTTTTCACCATGCCACCAAAAATAGCAAACAAAGAACGAGAAGCAAAATTGGCAGATCTCAAAGATCAGTTAGAGGACTTAGCCAAGGACATTAAGATGGCCACCGCAGTAGGGCGGAGTCTATCCTCCGATCCATCAAGCAAACCTTTATTTCTGGCTAGAGTCTCATGATCAGACGCCACATTCGCGTTTCGAAATTATTTTCATAGAAATTAATTTTCTCGCGAGAAGATTAAATGTCTCGAGGGAAAAATATAAAACGTTAAAGGAAGTGAGCAACTCGTGCTACGAGGAGCTATCTCTCAAAAATATGATTAATTGCGACTTAACTAAGTCAGAGGTTGGCAAATCCATGGTAAGTAGAGTTATGGGTGATGTTTTTTCTTATTCATGGTTGAATCGCTATTGGTATTCCATCCTTATCTGGAGATATCGGGAATTGGCAGGATTTTAAGGAAAATTTTATATCTCTGGTGCACGATAGGGAGGAATTAGATAATATGCAAAAAATCCACTATTTAAAAACAGCACAAAAGGTTTCGGAATAGCAGGCTATATCGGCGATTTCTATGTCCCCTTCAGGATATAATCATGGAATAATGGAAATCGCTTTACAATAAATATATTAGAACAATCCTCATACAAGCGACGTTTTACCTCACAAGAATTCTAAATTTTGATCCGCTCAGTAAGGGTAACCAGGCTAACTTGGAGACATTTTCTTATATGCATCACCTTAACGGGGTTTTGTTATCAGCTCCTAACTTGCGAGCAGTTAGCGACAAATGTCTCCCTTGAAGCTTTCTCTCCACCTCAAGTCTCCATCCGATATCCTCCATTCCTGAGGATTATTGAGTTCTCACCCCAGGACACTAGCGCCTACTTGTCACGTAAATATGTCTAGATCAGAGAGGAGTTTATGACCACCACCTTCTGGCCATCATTTTGATGACAATTGACTTTGCCCTCATTAAACTATACATACTTTATTATACCGGCAGACCTCTTCTGGCTAACCTTTTATTTGTACACATAAACAATGTGGATGATATATAATTATCTGTAGAATAACATTAAATGCGACTGACAGCTCTGAGAAACGTAAACATTACTTTACACATATTCAGAAGATTGATTGCTGAGGAGATGGATAAATAAATTATGTTTAAATGAGGTTAAGGATGAAGATTTGCGTATGGAGGTTGGTAGGGAATTCCAAAACAAGGTAGCACATAGTACAAAGGATTTCTTAAAGGAAACAGTTCTATGAGAAGGAATAAACAGGTTTGAGGGCTGAGATCTCGTGTTGAACGAATGGACAGAGGAACAAGGAGTAAACAAATCAAGAAGGTAAGAGGGTTTTTGATTGAAAAGTTTCGAAAAAGAAATACACCTAGGAAATATTGCCGTTGGAAGACTGGATAGAGCCACTTCAACTCGGCATACCAATTGAAGATGTGGGAGTGCCTGGAGACTCCAAAAATAAATCTAATGAAACAATTCATTAGTCTCTTTAATCTGATCTCAAGACCACTTGACTGTCCACTATACAAAAGGCAGCCATAACCGAAATGAGGGAAAATGAGTGAGGAAACCAGGAGCTGATGGATTTTAAGGGGCATGAAATCACGGAATCTTAGGAACTGTTTGAGGGTAGCTATAGATTTTCGGATTATTTGGGAAATATGATTATTCCAGGACAGATATTGATCAAACATTACCCCAAGGTTTCTAACGGAAGTGCGGAAACGGATACGTAGCCCATTGAGGTAGAGTAGAGGGATAATAAAGAATGAAATAAATCAGATGTTTGGAACCAATGAGAATGGCTTTGTTCTTCTCAACATTAAACTTTAAATCGTTGCTCACTGCCCAAGTATTGATACTATCAATGTCTTCTTGAAGCCTTCAGATCGCCTCAAGCATCTTGGTAGGATGGAAGGAAAGGTAGATTTGGAGATTGTCAGCATATAGGTGATATTGTGAATGATGGATGGAATTAGGAAGGTCGTTGATGTAGATGGAGAAAAGAGTTGGAGAGCGAAGATCCCCGAGGAACACCGCGAGTTAGTAAGAGTGGGGCAGAGTTAAGGTGCTTTGTAACAATTTTTTTTCTTTTGAATGCTTACTTTTACACTATGAAACTAATAGCCCATGATTTTCGACTAATCACATGATTCCTCATTTAACTGGACAGATCATGAATATAAAAAACTTATATTTCCCATTTTTTTCAAACTTCAAATTCGTAATATAACACTCATTTTTTCAATTGAATAAAACAAAGGTAATGATAGTAAAATGAAAAGATAATAAAGCTATGATTACCTCAAGAGCTGAAAGCATTGGAACACTTTCAATAAGCAACTCATACATTTTTCTTTTCTTAAAAGCATTCTTTAAAACAATTCTACGGAAAGTACTTCTATCAAGTGCCCATAAGACACCATCACTAGCAGCTTTAATAGTAGCAGCCCTGGGCATATTATACAAAAGAGCAAGCTCTCCAAAACTGCCACAATTATTGTAAGTATGAATTAGTTTTTCAGTTTTATCATCCATAAGAACATAAGCATCATAAATTCCACTGAAACAAAAATATAGAATTTATAAAATTAAATAACAATCTAACAAAGGTTCTTCTTAGTGAGCGATATTATATTTTTTTTTTCTTATTACAGTTTAATTATACTAAAAATAATGTGAACTTATTATTGCACAATAATTATTATCAAACCAGGACAATATAAAGTATAACACTAATAATTATATATTTTACTTTCATTTATATAAGAAAAAGCTATAGAAGATATTTATTGAAATGTTCAGATGAACCAACTACATAAATAATAGTGCTTGGAGGCAGCATTGTAAAAAAAAATATGGAAATTATTTAGGTTGTTATAAATATATCACTTATTTAGGAGTTCATTTAGATACTAGTTTGATCTTTACTAACCATATTAATATTCAAACAAATAAAGCCATATAAGTCATACACAAATATTCCCCTTGTTATCAAATTATTCTAAGATCATAGCTTTAAATAAATATTATAACTTTGTTGTAAATCAGGCTACTTCACCTTTCATGGACAATTCTTTAACCAAATTTCAGGACTAGCAATAGACAACATCCTTGCTCCTGACCTCGTTAATTTTGTTCTTAATAATCAATTTGATTCCATTATCCTGCTGTTCCCAGATGATATTATCTTTATTTGAAGATATGTAGACCATCTCCTCCTAATTCTTAATCTAAATAAAATACCCGATAACCTATCAATCTTCAATTGATACCACCCTTCCCTTCCACTTAACTTTAGAATGTGAATAAAACGATTCTCTTAATTTTTTGACCTTTCAACCACAAGAAACCCTAATTACACTATATTCACAAAATTGGTACACTAAACCAACTGACTCTAGCAGACTTGTGTGAACTTTCATTAATAACACACTTATCGAAAAATTCAAGTAGCCAAAAACCTCAATCATCAAAATTTTTTCCTCTCTGATTCCCATTTCCATGAAACCAACATTCATCATATAAAAAAAATCTTCACCAATAAAATCAAAAAACTTTTTTTGTCCTCAAGATACAACCTAACCTACAGTAACAAGAGGTCGAGATTCATTCTGTGGGTCTACCAAAAAATAATTTTTAACTCACCCAGATGCATTAGAACCAGCAACACTAGACTCGAGAATGATAAACTTTAAGCTTTACACACTCTGCCATCGCAACCTCTACCATCAACTTACTTGTCTAAGACTACAGAAATCGCTCTTCCTCGATCCTGACCTCCACAATCCATTACTTTCTCCTTTTACATATCTCTACCTTATATTCCCAACCTTTCAGGCATCAATAAAGTTTTATGGTCCACTAACCCTACCTTACAATGCCTTCAAATTTAACAACACACTTTCAAACATCTACATTTCTCTAAAAGATCCCGTTTCTTGATCATTTTCATGATAACATAAACATTAGGATTAGGAACATTTAGTCGGTCCCTTATAAATACGGATCAATTGCTATAATAGATATGTGAGTGAAAAATCTGGATTCAATTATCACTTTAGATGATAAATGTTTGAAAAATCATATGTTTAACAATTTTTTTTTGGTAAATAAAATGTGTATTTATGCATTTATGTTTAATATAATATAAGTTCAACAACAGTTTTTCTGGGGTATTCTTCCATCAAAGCCAAATCAATATATATGAAAATACTGATACATTTAATAAGGATATTACAAAAAACTTAATACCTACCAAGAGTTTTCTTGTTTTCCAGAACTGTCACTCTGTCTAAAACTTGTGAAGTGAGGAAATGTATTTCCTCCACACTAAATATTTATTGAGTCAGTCATAGATAATTATAAAACAACAAAGTTATTGTGATAACAGCACAGTTACTTCCTTCCACATATACTCTCCTTGGAGTGGAGTGGAGAAAAAAGAATGCTCTCAATAAAAATTCTTTTTTTAGCTTTTAGCCTACCTCTTAAATACTCAGAAAATAGTTTGAACCAAAAAATTTTATTTCAATATATTTTAGTTAGGTAGAAGTATAATAATAATTACATTTCAAGACAGTAAGGGAATAGTAAAGTATAAAGGGCATCTATTCATGGTGCTATATAAGTCACATCCTTATTTTGCACCACATGAAATGAATCTCAATTTATTTTATTATAAACCCTCAAATTAATGTATACAGACTTAAAGCTTTAAACAAAGAAGTTTTTCTGAAAGTAGGGTATCTGTCGTATAGTTAGAGGGTGATATCAGAACTTAGCTTAGTTTATCCCCTCAAAAGTCATCTTTAAATGGTTTTAACAATGACAAACGCTTCTATCATTTTAAGTAAATTTTACTGTGAATCAATTGTTAGTTATTTAGATTAAATATATTTTTTAGAGGTAGGTAGAGGGGTTATAGGGCGATAAATTGCTAGATTATTACGTCCGTTTTCTACATTTTTTAGATAGAATGTTTATTATTAAACAAAATAAAATAATGATCACCTTCAATATATTATTAGAAATTAATACAGATTTTCTTTGTTATTCTATCTTTTTTTTAATAAGTATGACATGGAATATTGTCATCACCTTTGATTAATAGTACTAATTTTTTTTTCCTTTGATTAATAGTACTAATTTTTTTTTAAGTTGCTCACATTTTACATATTAATAATTATATATCTGTAATTTTACGAAGTTCTAAATTCATATAAGGTATTGAAATAATTTGGGCTGTAATAAAACATGGAAAAAGTAGTAATTATAATGAAAACAAAACTTTTAATAACAATGAAAAAAGTTATAATTACGATAAACAAATCATCAATAACCACAAAAATCAACACATTACCCAATTTTTTTTAAGCCAAGAGACAATAGTGAAACATTATCCAATAATGGAACTGAAAATAATAAAATAGTCAACAATAAAGAAAACCAAAATATAAATTCAAACTTTTATTTCTGAACACTAATCAATGGAACCACTGACAATATAACCAATACTTTTAAAAAATATGACCAATCAGATTTAGAATTCAGTAAAATTTCAAAGAAAATACACAAATGTTAAAGCTAAGGTTAATAAAGATGAAAAACAAACATTATATACCAGATAGATTGCATAGATTGTAAATAGTATTAATGGAAACAATAAAACAACCTCCTATATTGGAAAAACCAAGCAGAATCTATATAATAGAATTAGTCAGCACAAAAGTACCTGTAAATCCAAAATTAAAGAATACAAAACCAGCACAGGCCTATCTACACATAGTATAGAGCTCAAATACAACTTTGATTTTAATAACAAAAAATGATCACAAGTGAAAATAACAGCCACAAATGTGAAGTTCTAGAATTAATATACATCACCAAAAATCAAAACATAGAATGTAATTTTCAATCAGACATTAAAGGTTTGAACAGCACATATGCCAACATTATTACTAAATTAAAATTTTAACACTTCATCATTATTAAAAATAGAAAGATCATTATTATTATTTTTAGTTATAATAAAAAAAAATGAATGGTTCAGATAACAATATAATAACCTTACAGCAAGGCATTTACACACAGTAATCCAATTATGCAGCATTGAGAGATAAATTAAATCTGTGAGTGTCACTATTTGGACTAAATAAATAAATAAAAAATTATTACTAAGGAGTGTTTTAACTATTTTGATTGACATAAATTAGAATCCCGATAATTCATATAGATTCGCTGGTCCCTTGAAATTCTACCTCTAATTCGTATAAAAACAACGTAATTTGGCCTCCTCGATAATTCGTACTTATTTCTGTCTTAGGTATTTTAAATGTCTTATACTTCAGTTAAAAAAAAAAAAAAAAAAAAAAATCGGTCGAGTCTTAATCCTTTTAAGAGCAAGAGAGGAGAGCGGGGTGATAGATAGATTACCGTTTTTATGAATTTCCGTCTGTTACCTCTTTTTTTTTTTCTATTACACACCTCTCTTTTCGTCGAATGTATTGATATATTTCAGTTTGATTTTGAAAATGTCTCTGAGGTCTAAATAATCTATTTCCATGAAGGAAAAATAAGATATAAGGGCCATGGCTGATGGTGAAAAACAAATTGTGTTGAAACATTGTAACGTTCCTCAATAATAACATACATTTTAAGGAATGAAGATAAAATCTTCTTTTAGACTACGAGCAGTAAAGAACTTCAAGCCAGATAAGTACCCAGAACCGGATCATTTAAAACTATGGTTCACACAAGCATGTAATTCTAACTTGCCAATTGAAGGTAACATTTTAAAGGAAAAAGCAAAAGTTTCTGAATAAAAAAATGGATATTAAAATATTTAATGAATGGCTAAAATCAGTATTTTTTATTTTTACTCCCTAATACTGGAAATCTTGATAATTCGTATTTTACTCCCAGTCTCTTGATAATACGAATTATTGAGATTTTACTATGTTTAAAATGTAGTAGAATATTTTTAATTAACCTTAAAAATGTTAAAATTTATTATTAGCATTACTATTAAATTAAGTTTTAAATTGCAAAATTTAAAGCTACGATGTCTTTGCATATATAACATTTCTTGATAATAGTTATATTATTTAAAATAATTGGCCTAATTATAATTAATTATGCTTAATATTTATACATCAATATCTATATGATAAGTTGATCTCATCTTCTTTTTCACTAATATACATTCTCTTGAAAACCATGCTTTTCTATTGCAATGGGATTGGATATGCTGCATTTTTATAAGCCCAGCTTCCTTGATTAGATCATAAACAAAATTCATATATTTGTAATTAAGGTTTTCTACTTCCTCAACCTCTTTGTTAGGTGGGGCGGGTTAAATCAACTAATGCCCTGAAGATGTTTAAATTAAATTAATTTCATTCCTCACCAGGATTACTTTAGACTTATTTGATTTTCTTTATTAAATAAGGTACATAAGGGAGATAAATGAAGGGAATGCATACATTGAGGATTTCAAAATCTGTAGCTTTATATATATAATAGACAAAGATATCCAGACATAATCAGGAGTACTATAAGACT